TCACTAGTTTTTTAAAAAGCCCGTATGTCAGCGGATAACAAAACATATTTTGTACAGATACAAAAGTCTGCCTGATTGATATGCGGTGAGTTTCCCAAGAGAACACAATGAATGATTTAGGCAACTGAACAGAATCTGTTGAATAAGAAACGGAAATACTGCAACGTTTCCGATGTTGGTCCGATTGTTAAGACTGAACTAAGTTGTGACGTCATTTGCAATGTAAACAAACTGAAACGCTGTCATCAGGTAACAGTCGGAAAGCTGACCCCGGTTTGACCCCATTTCTTAAAGCAACAATGTAAGTCATGTGATTACCATATATGGGCATTTTTTTACCAAAATAAGTGAAGCCCGTTTTTTGAAATTTGTAGTTTTTTGCATGAATTAAAACTAATTTGCTTTTAAGTGAACATTCTTGAGTATATAAGAAATATATTGATCCATTCAATTATGGATTAAACTAATTTTTTCTCTCAAAATGTGTCTTCAAAGTCTAGGTGTTGACAAAAAAAATCGGTCACTGGAAATTAAAATCGTGATTTTCTTTCTTAACTTCTCGGGAAGCTATGCTGAATTTAAATTATGTTATATAACATAACTTTGACTATGATATGTCAAATTTGTGCTACTTAATACGCTGTAATACGCAAATGTGCCACTTCGATGTGTCGATATTTCTGACGAAGCGGGGCCGATAGTAATTTACGAGTTACGTCCCTTTGTTTTGTCAACGTATATTTGTTCCGCCTAACAGAAGTTCCACTGGAAACTTTGTTATAAACAATGTCATAATATCTGTTCCTGTTGGAACAAATATTCTATACCATACATTCCGTTAGGAACATTTACTGTAATATTCATTCCAGTAGAAATAATATTCCAGAATATTGTTTCCATTTGGAACTTATATTATGAAGGAACTTCTATTCCGTGACAGTTTGACACTCTCATGATCAAACTATTATTATATTAAGCACCATATGCTGTTATTTACATGAGGATATTATTAAAATAATTTTATTGGATATATTTTGATACTAAAGACATGTGCAAAAAAATTAGCGAAACACATTTTATCACTCTACAGAACTCAGTCTCAGTGAAATACTCAAATAGGCCCTATGTCAGTATGTGCCATAATATTATTAAGTACAATAACCGAACCAAAGTCCGAACGAACCGACATGATGACCGATTAATGACTACGGTAGGATATTCCAAGAGTTAATTTAATATTTATATTTTGGTAAGTATTTATACTGCTGTAACCAAATTATTTCAACACAGAAATAAATTTCTACTTTAATCATACAAGGGGTAGCCAAAATATTCATGAATAATGGATCAAGACAGGATTAAAACGATCAAATACAGGAACTCCTTTTCATTACTGATACCTGATCTTACCTTTTTCATTTAAACTTAAACGAGACCATAATGAAAGTATTCTGTATGTAAATTCTTCATTATTTGAAATAAAAGGAAATTAGTTTGCAATATTCTTGTATGAACAAACTAAATATAACAATAAATTTTGTCTCACTGATTCCATGCAGATTCTAATGAATGGACTCAAATTATAAAAAAAAAACACTAAACCAATAAATAAATGGTTCTAATCATGAACTTGAAAATAGATAAGAACAAAAAAGACTGGGTCTAATATTTTTCTTCTTCTATTTAATTTTTTTTAACAATTATGCATTTTTATATTTATATAAAAGTATTTCAGAGCAGATTCTGAATGCTAAGTCAACAATATTAATTTTTAGATCATAAGTCACACTTCATGTCAGTATGAACATGCTTTGAATAAGAGTGATTAAAATGCTAGTCTGAAAGAGGTTGTTTTAAGTTCATATTCAGGACAAGACTTTTTCATTTACCTTTGGCTTTGGCAGTTTTGCAGGATTACTTCATCACAAATTTGTTTATAATATTATAAACGATGAATGAGTTTTGGTTAAGGTTGTGTAAAGACAGTATACGATTTCCTTACCTTGTTTTAGTTAAGTCAAACAATTCACTGACTTAAAGAGAATAATTAATCCAGTCAAATATTCACAGCTGAACTCGCCATTGCTTTTTCAAACAAACACACTAAATGTGTGTACATTGTGAAAAGATGCAAGTGGACATCGATGTGTAAGATAAAAAACTACAATGTCAAAAAATGTCTTTCGTTTGGAATTTAGTTCGAACGGGGTTTCCTAATGGGTGATAGAACGATGAACTTGATTTTTGTTTTAACTTTGAGATACTTATTATTAATATTTTATATAGTTTGTATATTCTTTGTTTATCTGGAAAAAAAAGAAGAAAAAAATAACAGACAATTTCGCATAATTCTTAAACGACGATCAAAGGCATTACGTTATTTTTAAAAGACGGACAATTTATAACATGTTTAAGTATTATTTTCTTTGATAATAAGAACCATGCTTGAAAAATCGAAAGAAATCTTTTTCTGACCCTAATGGCAAGTAAGAAACAGAAAAAAGAAAAAATTCCAAATTGGCGCCAAATTATTTTTTCCGCGAAATTAACGCAATTTCAGGATGGCGGGTTTTAATATCAGTCCCATTGTTGTCTTAAGAAAGTAGCAACAACGGTCGTTTCTAAGGTAAGTGCTTTCCGACTGATAAGGCTTTATTTTTAGGAGTTTTGTTTATTTGCTTTTTGTTAAAGGTACGTCTTCCAATCGGAACTACTCGGCCTTTCTGGTTGCACGAAGAAATATTGTATTGCATAGCGAGAATGGCCGAGTAGTTACGATTGGTACGTCTTCGTAACATTTTACTCAAATCCCGAGAGATAAACGTTTCATGACAAACGAGACCGGAAGAAAAAAAGAGATTTCTGCGCAAATGCGGGAAAATAAAAAAGTCTGAAAATAAAAAAAAAGAATCCTTATTGTTAATCATTTCGGGTCACGTGATTGTAGACATCGTTTTAATTACAATTTGACTGGTCAGTACGGGAAGTGACCAATCTCTGTGTTATAGTAGTCAGATCTTTAAAAAAAAAAAGGTAAAAAAAGAAGGACGATTGTTTTTTTTTTTGTTAAATGTTTAGTACATACCTGAAAAAGAAAGATTTGTAGAGTAAAACATTTGGTAATTATACCAGAAGATGAAAGTTATAGAAATGTGATAAAAATTAAATCAATAGTTTTCCCAACGTGATTTTTATTTGTAAGCCAATTCTTTCTGAGTCTTCCGTTTGACACCCCCTTTTTTCTCTTTTATTCAAGTCTGCTTATTCTGTTATTGAAAGAAGAAGCTTTATCCCGAAGCAAATTCTTTTGTAAAGAAATAATTTAATGAGGATGTTTTTCTTGGTTTGATCATTAAAAAATATAAATATCTATAAATATGTTGCCCCGATCAAGGATTTGTATAGAAACATACCTATACAAATCATTGCCCTGATTGTGACAATACCTATTCTTCAGTTTCTGGTTTTCTTGGTCATTTAACTTTAAGAACAAAGCACAACCTAAGCAAGATTAAAAGGTATGTTTTCTAAATATCTTTTTTCATTCCCTTCTCGCAGTATATGAGGGTCTACATGGGGGTTTACAGAATAGAGAATAATGAGCTAAAAATATTAAGAATGGAGAAAAATGGACCGAAACATAGAGAATAGAGAATAATGGGGTGCTAAAATATAAAGAATAGAAAATAATGGGCACACATTACAAAGAAAAGAGATAAAATGACCTTAAAAAATCAAAGAATACAAAAATGTATGACCCCATCCATTCCCTCATATATGTATGCCCATGCTATACTCATGTACAAAAGACACGTCACATTAAACATAAAGTGCAAAGTTTTGTATAAAAATATATTAACTAAACTGTTTTGCTTAAATCTTGTGTTTAAAGACCTCGTTTAAAACGAAATGCTTAAAAAGTGTAATTGTCTCAAACCAGAGCAACCTTCGTGACACAAAATCCATTTTGAAAGCCACTTTTTCAATTTGTTCAATAAAAAAGTCCGTTGGTGAAGAATTATAATTTTTTTTTTTATTTCAAGCCAGAAATGAGTCACAAATGACACGTGAATGAAAACAAAATTTCTTTTAAAACGGCTTGATGTTAGAAATTAGAGGTTTCAAGCCATACCCGTCTAGTGTTCCTGCTTAACCAGAAGTGATCTAATGAGAAAAAGAGGTTTACTGGATAATTATAAAAGAGGAGATGTGGTATGACTTCTTACGAGAAAACTCTCTACCTAAAACCAAAATGTTGTTTTTATATAAGCGCACTGCGGAACAGAAATCCACATCTTTTAAAACGTCGGCATGCTCAACTGTCTGACCGCATTATGCTGTCCTGGACTTTAGGTTTCTACAGTCGCCATTTTCTAACTTAATAATTCTTTTGTTTTTTTCTAAATTTCGAAATTTTAATGTTGATAATGTCAGAACTGAAATGATGTTTTCAAGAAATGGGAAAACATACCATTCCAATTCAATACAAGTAATTATAAAATATTTATCAATTAAACATTGCTTTACAACGTTGTATTGGTGTAACGCTTGGTACAAGAGTATATATATCCATATATTATAGTAATGTAAGGACCAATACTGAATCAACACTTGAGCGTCAGTGACAAATATTTCTCGCATATGATAACCAAAAATTCAGTACATCGCCCCGGCAGTCTTCACGCTTAACCACAAGTCCTACGGCCATGGCTTGTAAAATTGCTTTCGGGCTTGTAAAATTCTCCTCTACAAGCCAACAGAATCCAACTAAAATTTTCAAAATATTGAGCGTCTGGCTTGTGGACTCAGAAGTTATGCGTGAAGGCTACATCGGTTCTGGTTCGTTGCGTTTTTACAGGATTTGTATGACGTACACCGTCCTATATATACTAAGAGTTGAAAAGTGCATTATTTGAAGCTACATCTCAAGAAAACCAATTTCCATTTGAAACATTATATATGCTCATACATAATGTTGTCTAAAAGTACAGGCCCCGGCGCCATAAAACTTTTATTTTCTGAGTAAAAAAATATTCTCAGAATGAATTATTTTACTCAGCTAAGAATTAGAACTTTTTTATCCGCCATAAAAAAATATTCTCAACTTTGAGAATATTCTCAGCTGAGAATTTTTCAGAATTTTTTTTCTCAGCTGAGAATTTTTTTCTCGACGATGTAAGCGGCAAACGGAACTCTTTCGTGTTTGAAAACCAGAAAAGAGTGCTAAAGTTCGCGAAAATGCAGGTAAGATTTGATGAGAAAGTCGTCTGTCAAGGTAAGTTCGGTTGTCATTATGGCAGAAAAAAATAAGAGAGGAGCAAATTGGACCACCGATGAAGAGCTAGCTCTGATAGATCAGGCAAATCTGAGGGAGGATTCCCTATTTGGGAAGATGAAAGGTTGTGGCGATGTGAAAATCGCCACAATAAGGCAAAATGCATGGAAAGAGATATGTGACATACTAAATGCGTAGGTTCTCCATATTTTCCCAATTTCTCAAACGTTTTTGGAATGAGAATGTCGGTTGTATCAGATTCTTCGTCATTATATATCTTGAACAGTAAATGCGAATGTTATTGATAAGGCCCCTCATGTTGGTGTCAAGTAGTCACATAATCATAAATGTTTTGCGCGTATAATCCGATAAATATAACTTACTTACTTAGCACCTTGGCTTAGGGAACGATAATTTAACTTAAAAAAAGGGAGTGGGTTATGTTTTTTCATTAAATATTATTCTGATCCCCAATTTGATGGAAAAAATGTGTGTGAAATCTTGAAAAATATTATTTGATTGTTGATTGATAACAAGATCAAAGCATTTTGAAAAACTGCTCACACTATGCAAAAAAAAATAATTCTGACTCAAACAAAAAAAAAACAAAACATACCCCCTTTGACATGTTTGAAGTTAATTGGTTGCTCCCTTATTATATATAAAAAATATACATGTACATGTAGTTTCTTGGAAAACTACATGTAATTACCTCAACAAAGCTCCATTGCTACAGATATGTACTTAGATTAGCTACTGCTTTGAATAAACAGAGGCTGTCTAGGATCGTAATGATGAAAAAAAAATCATTTAATATACCCACCAAAGGTTTACCTGTACTATCTTTTCTGTCCAGGAAGAAATAATATTAAAAACGTGGATCACACTGAATAACATGCATAGCGAATTAATTAATAGTGTACACCAAATTTTTGATTTTTTTTTAAATAGACCGAAAGAGTATTAGTCGTTGTTTATAGTTGAAATTTGGAGTATATATATTAAATGAGTAAATCATGAATTAAACGGTTCATGATGTCACAAAAACATGACAAAATTATGTCTATGAGCTACATGTAATACACAAAAGACTTTCAGACAACATTAATACAGTGTTACATGTACATCCAAAATTAATTTATAAAGAAATAAACTTTAAGTATCAGAGTTCATTTTCCTATTATTCATTAACATTTTGCTTTTTATTTCTTATGCAGAAGATTTACAGTCCGTAAAAGAACATCTGACGAGGTAAAGAAGAAGTACTATAACTTAAAACAAAGAAGTAAGTTTAATGTAAAATGAGTTTCAATATTTTCATGTTGTGTTTATACTTGTTATAGATGCCACTATTTCTTTAATGGACATTATAATATGGTTTGGCAATATATCTGATTTATTACAAGGCAACATAAAAATTGAACAGTTTGTTGCTCAATTTGCTTCAATTAATGGGAACTAGAAAACAAAAGTAAATTAAGCAAATCATTAACATTACATGCTATATTCAAAATGTACATCAGAACTGCAAAGGTCAATATTTTTTCCTTGTGATGTGAAATCCTTGGAACATTTTTATAATTGTATATTTAATATTATCCTGATTTAGAGTAATTTCTCGCAATTTGATTGGCTGATATTGTCCTAATAAATTTCAGTACAATTTGTATCCCCTTTAATCCCTTATACCATTGACCTAATAAAAAAATAATAATTTTGTGTTGCTTTATAGTCCTAATATTTTTTATTTTTCATAGTTTTATATTAAAAATCTATATATATTTGGTTGATATTGTCCCAAAAATTGAATTTGAATATCATAATATGACATAATGTAATATAACAAAATCAGGATAAATTCCTTACACAGTGTGCAATTGTCCTAATACAGAATTTATCAGGTCAATAAAATTCATATCGGGTTTGGCTTGGCCTCACCCGATATGAGTTTTATTGACCTGATAAATTCTCATATGAGGACAATTGCACACTGTGTAACTAATAATCTTGTTAGGCCAAATAAAAAAAGATGTGCGTTTCCTATTACGGTACCTTCCCTATTTTTTTCAAAGATGTAATATTTTTTTGTCCTTATTTGAGAAATATATGTTTTTTAGGTAAAGAAAAATATGACCTGCAAAAGAGACCAAAAACAGGAGGAGGTCCTGCTGCCAAAACCACCCAGGCAGAGGAACTCCTCATCAGTCATATGCTGGAAGATAACCATACGCAGCTGACTGGTTTGCCAGAGGGTGTAGACACTGATAGTTAGTATTATATACAAGACAATGATCACTTTGATTCTCTTTGACATTAAATTGTGACATGCTTGTGAAATGTGAGAAATAGTACCAGAATTACATATTCTATTAATAAAAGTCTGTAAATAATAAAGTATAAGTAGTCTAAAACTGAATACAATTATATGCAGCATTTGATAAATTCTGTGTTGCATCATGAATGCAATAAAATTAACATATGATGGTTTTTACAATATGAATAGTTAAGTTTTTTTATTATTGTCGATGCATAATAAATACATGTAACATAATCTCTAAAGAGCCTAAAAACCAGTCATCTGTCGTTCTTCACTTTCTATTTTTTCATATGAATTAAAGGTTTTTTTTGTGGGACTGTTGGTCAGTCAGTTACATGTGTTATTTCGTCTGAAATGAGAACTAATAGTATATGTCTTATTTCAGTAATTGCATCCCAATCTTCTGGATCCTGGATGACAAGACAGAAGGAGGCTCTTGATCTCTTCAAAGAACTATCAGGTACTTTTATTTTTTACAATCTCTTCTTCTTTCTTTATACATGTATTTCAGCTTGCTGTTTTCAAGCTTCTTGTGTAAGAAATAAACACATATGAAAGAAAGAGGCTTGAATATTGCAGATGGTCATGGGTAAGATTTTCATCTCCAACCTAACTAACATTGATTGAGGGACAGGTATTGTTACTCAGGGATGTCTGCCTGTCCTGTTTCTCAATCTTACACTTTCTTAAGAAAAAAGCAAAATTTACATAAAATGGTCACTGCTTGAAGTCCCATAATGACAAGTTTAAATTTACAATAAATAAGCACCAACCTGTCATATGTCTTGAAATACACCTTGATATAGGTCAGAAGTTAATAAGCATTGAAATATGAAATGAATAAAGTTATTTCAACCATTGTCTCATTTTTCAGAAAGAAATTTGGTGACAACAGCCAAGAAAATGGCAGTAAAAATAGAAAATTTTTTGAACACTCACACAGTTGTAACACCAGTCCCTAGAGCTAATGACTTTCACATTATGGAAAGCTTAAAAGGAATTTCTCAGAGTGAAGTGGACCAAGATGAGTCTGAAAGTGATTTATTGGTGAACTACCTATGTCAAACATACAGTTGCCTTAGAAATTTAAATACACCTGATTTACCTTCTTTGATCAATGACTTGGTGATATTTATAAAAGAAAACACATATAAAGGTTTGTTGCTCCAACCAATTGATATGAAATGCATAAATTGGCAACAGAAAAAGAAACTAGTTTCCCATTAAAATATATATCTTAGTATACAATCAATGTGATGGTGTGAAAGGTCCAGATAGGTCATCTGCTATTTGGTTGAGTTGTTGTCTCTTTGACATATTTCTCATTTCCTTTCTCAATTTTATCAGTATTATTTCCCTCACTGTTGCTTGTGACTAAGTATTAGTGAAAACAACTAGAGTTAATGTTTAAATGACAACAAAAATATTGTCATGGTTGTGTCAATTTTGGTACAATTCCGAAGTTGAAGTAAATCAATTAACATATATAATAATCCAATTACATTTCAGAATTTACACCAAATGAGGAGCTTGATGGACAGGCTGAAGCTGACAAAGAACCTACATGTACTGTAGCAAATGTAGTGGAAGAACAGGGTAAAGTTGTTAACATATAATTCCAAGTATAAGTATGATAGGATAATCTATTTAAAATTTTGGGAAATACATGAATTACATTAAATCTGTTACATATACCGCACCTATATGGGAAATCTTGAGACAAAGTCATCAATTAAAGAAACTATATTATACTAAATTATATCCAACATTTTTAACATATATTACATAAAATATTTCATTTCTGTATTATTGTCTTTCATGTGTTTTTGCAAACAGAATAGTTGAATAATAAAGTAAGAATTTGTTGAAAATTATAATGGATCCCATATACTCATACATTGCAAATGTGCAAAGGCTATACTTTCATTTTAATTATTCAAATGAATGTTTCATTTTTTAAACATGGGCTTTTCCTATATATTTGTAAAATTGTATTCCTCTTTACAATATATCAATGGGGATTAAATTTGAATATTAAGTCTTCGTCCATGTAAAATGTCATAAAAATCTATGAATGTTTACATGAAATTTTGATTTTATAGGACAAAATGGTGAAAAGACAAGTACACCAAGATCTAACCCAAAAGGTAAAGGTAAGTTTCCAAAAAAATAGGGCAAATTTTTTTTCAAAAGTTATAACAGACATGGATTCTAATATGACTTTCTTCTATGGCTTTGGATACAAAGCCATGTTCTTATTCCAATAAAACATGGGATTCACATGATTGACGTTACAATTGAAATTGCAACGTCAGTAGCATTTTGAACCACACCGCAGATTAACATGGAAATTTTTGTGGGTGTTGCTAGCTAGGAAATTAAATAAAATCATTCTAAAACTAAGTTTAAATGTTTCTGTAAAAAAGAAGATGTGGTATGATTGCCAATGAGACAACTCTCCACAAGAGACCAAATGACTTTAACAACTATAGGCCTTCGTACAGCCTTCAACAATGAGCAAAACCCATACCACATAGTCAGCTATAAAAGGCCCCGTAATGACAAATGTAGAACAATTCAAACGAGAAAACTAATGGCCTAATTTATGTACAAAAAAACAAACTAAAAACAAGTATGTAACACATCAACAAACGACAACCACTGAATTACAAGCTCCTGTTCATTTTTTAATCGCTAAACTGTTGATTTTTGTCGAGCCTTCGACTTTTGTTGAAAAAGCGAGACATAGTGATCTTACATTCTGTTGGCGTCGTCGGCGGCGTCTACAAATATTCACTCTGTGGTTAAAGTTTTTGAAATTTTAATAACTTTCTTAAACTATCCTGGATTTCTACCAAACTTGATAAGAAGCTTGTTTATAATCATAAGAAAGTATCCAGAAGTAAATTTTGTAAAAAAAAAAATCATTTTTTTAGTATTTTACTTATAAACATGATAAATGGACTTAGTTTTTCTGCCAGTTAACATTACATTCACTCTATGGTTAAAGTTTTTAAAATTTTAACAACTTTCTTAAACTATCTTGAATTTGTACCAAACTTGGACAGAAGCTTGTTTATGATTAAAAGCCAGTATCTAGAAGGAAATTTTGTTAAATTTTTTTTCAATTTTTTCCGTAATTTACTTATAAATGGTCTTAGTTTCTCTTCCAGTTAACATTACATACAGTCTGCAGTTTAAGTTTTTAATCATTTATTAGATTCATAAACTATCCTGGATTTTTACCAAACTTGGACAGAAGCTACTTACAATCAAAAGATACTATAGAGAGGAATATTTTTATTAATTTTTTTCCTCATTTTTGGTGTGTCTGCGATTAACAGCAAAAGTAGGCGAGACACTGGGTTCCGTGGAACCCTTACGAACTTTTTCTATAACATTTTTGGTTCACCAAATCAAAATTGCTGCCTTTAGAGGGTGTATTATATGTCTGCTTCGAAGTACAAAAGATCTAAATTTTCCTATTAGAATCGAAATAATTATATCATGCCATGCTCTATGCATGCTTATTGAAACATTGTAAGGCAATATTCAACACCTTGCTAATGCTCGGTATTAAGATATTGACAAATATAATGCTTTCCCATGTTAAAATGATCATATAGCATGGCATTAAAGAATTATTTCTTAAATATTAGTTTCCGGCCAACCATATCCAGTACAATCGTAAGACATATTTATTTATGTAGAATTATAATTAAAAATTCCTTCTACCACTGAGGTTATTGGACTCTACATATAAGGCAAATAAAATAAGAGGAAAATAGTATTATTGATAGTTTTATTGCATACAAAGAGCTTAAAAATGTATACTTCATTGTATGAAATGTTTTTTTTCCATATTTATTTTCTTTGAAGATTGTATAGATAACTAAAACAATATTATCTAAACACTGGTAAGGAATAAAACAAATATATGAAGATGTATGAAAATGAAAATATATGTCACAAATAGAGGGGAACTAACTCTTTTCAAATTTTAACAACCATATTGCACAATTTTAATTTGCATATATGGTATAATTTGATAAATAAAATTTATTTTTCATGATGTCATGAAATGGATTTAGCGATTTATTATTTAGAATGTTTTATATTCACTTATTTTATGACACAGCTTATATAGCAGATTCAACATGAAATACAAAAAGAATGTACATTTATATAACTTGATAACAACCTTATGTAAAATTTATATTTCATGTCACTAGGAAACATAAAAAGAGGAAGAAGGACTTTGGCAGAGTTAGAAGAGGAAAACTTACTTTTGGATAACGAACGGTTACGTGAAGAAACCAAGAGGATAAAACTAGAACAAGAAAATTTGAAATTAGCAAAAGAAGTTTATATTTTGAAAAAACAATGTTTAATATGTAAACTGCAGTCTGAGTTTCCTGATTGTGTACAAATTTTAGATGAACCATAATTACAACATGTTTATTACTGTAAATCTGGATATTTTGGTGTTCAATTCTACATAACTTAAAATTATTACTATTTTTCACTCAAACACATGTATAATACTTGGTAAAATATTGTTTAACATTGTAACCATTTTGTCACCTTGACATAAATCCATATCATTCAAATGTAACCAACTGTATATTTTAGAATTTTTGTATCCTGGCCCTTTTTCAAATTTTAGATAAGTGGTGGCTATAAATCTGTTGCATAATGCTAGGCTAATCAAATCTTTGTGTAAGAGATCCCTTTTTTTTTAATATACTAATTTGTTAATTCAAATAAGACCAAAAATGTATTTTTACCTGTCAGACATGAATTAGGAAAATTCCATGTTAGTATTATCTACAAATATTATAAAACACATAAAAAAAAAAAAGATTAACTATCATATTAGGAATTCTTAACTGACTTAAATATTATCTTCTTAGTGATCAAAAGTTATATTAACCATGAATGAGAATGTGAAATTGGTAATCTAGTAGGATGTCTACAAATAACAAAGTTTACTCAAAAAAATTGTCTTGCAATGTCATTTCTCTTTGCGGTGCCATCAAAGGTTGGGTTCATATTAATGTCACCCCTACAATCTCCAATAGCAATTTCCTCAATATTGTTATTTATTATTATATCATTGTGGTTAATTCCTATATCATGTAAAATAACACAGGATGTTATATATTTTACAGACTGTTCTGGTGTTGTTCTAAAGCCATCATGCAAACAGTTAAACCTCCTTTTTAATATACCAAATGTTTGTTCAATTAGAACTCTAGTTCTACAAAGTGCTCTATTAAAATTTCCCTGACAGTTGTTAGCTGGACTAAGATAAGGGGTCATCAGGTATTTGGTACATGGATAACCGGAGTCGCCTAGTAACAATCCTTGGTGAATTCCTGTTAAAATAAATGTTTTCAATGTAATATTCACAGATTGAATTTCGAATAAATCAAATAATTGGAAACTCAATTTAAAGCATTTAAAGGTTGTAACATAAACAATTATAGAAACTGCTACTTCCCAGTTATTTGTAGTGAAAATCCAAGAATATACATGAATAAAGGGAAGTAACTACAAAATTATCTCCCCACTATTGCTGCATATAAATACAAGCACAATAATAAAGTCTCTATTTTTTTGTGGAAAGACCTATTGTATTTGTTCTGATTATTTTTTTTCTTCTTCAGCCAAATTTCAAAACTTGTTTTGTGGTACTGCAAGATGTCGCTTAGATATTTTGCATATGATATTGAACAGTTATTGCGCTTTTGAGATTGACCCTGTTTAGTAGAAGACTTTTTATTGTAAGAGTTATCTCCCTAAACATTGTTTTCTTTGTGGTGAGATCTCCTCCTTAACCGTAAAAGAAAGCGACTAATTTATTTGACTAAATTGATCTTTATATCCTCAGGATGATTTGTCAAATTTTAAATGAATCAATTCGTACACTCCATATGACAGTTATTTCCCCTTTTGAATTTGATATAAGTGATATGCATTTCTAACTGGTAAACCATTAGTGATAGAGACCTAGGGTCTTTTGATTTAAGGTCCTTTGTTAAAATAAAGAAAATTAGGTCAAGGTCAAAGGTCAAGGTCATACTCTAAATTTTGATTTGGCTTATTTTCACTTCTTTTTAAAAAACGTATCAGATATCGACAACATATTTTTACTGAATTGTTAGTTGCGACATGTCGTAACACATACATTTTGGTTAAAAGGGTACTCTGACATTAAATGGGAGTTTTCTCACCTATGATATTTAAAACTACGCGTATGGTGATTTAACTCATTAACAAAATATAATAAAGACCTAGGGTCTTTTGATTTGATGTCCTTGGTTTATAATCTTGAAATTGAGGTCAAGGTCAAAGTTGAATTTGAAGTTCTAGATTTTTACCTTTGCTTTAACTTCATGTATAAATATACATGATAAAGCCATGGGATTTTTGCATTAGGTTGCAAGCCATATGACCTTGAAAATTCAAACCGAAAATGACCTTACGTAAAGCGGAAGTAGCTATTTTTTGTACTTATTTAATGTAAAAGTATATAGAACCAGATATTTTTGGAATTAGTGTCAAGTAAACTATCAAGTTATAACAGAAATTACATTTTTCAAACTGGAAGTAACATATTATCTCCCTTATTTCAAACAAAAGTGTATAGAAACCATATATTTTTGGAATCAGTATACAATAATCTATCATTTGACACGTGAAGTGACATGTTAAACTGAATTTTATTATTTTCTTATCAAATAAAAAAATTGGCGGTCGTATATTGGTATCACGTCGTCGTCGGCAGCGTCATCCGAAGACATTTGGTTTCAGTGCAATAACTTTAGTATAAGTAAATAGATATCTAGGAAATTTAATCTACATGTAAGTGCATCATAAGCCTTAAATATGTTTCTAGGCTGGATTATTCTATATGTTACTAAGAAAATTTTGATAAGTTTTTGAAAATTTAGAAGTTTTTCTACAGTCTTGCTAACAAGAACAAACAAAATGAGATTAAGTTACCATTTTCAAATTGTTGACATAGTCCACTTGTTCTAAATATTCTACTATCATGGACTGATCCTGGCCATTTGGCACACATAGAAGTTACTCTAAAATTTGGATCACAAACCATCTGTAAAAAAAAAAATCAATTGGTATATTTTAGGAATTAGGGGCCAAAAAGGGGCAAAAAACAAGCATTTTTTTAGTTTCCAGACAATAACTTGTGTTCAAGTGTATGGATCTCTCTGAAATTGTACTGTAAGGTACCATACCACAAAGGGAAGGCTGCGATTCATTTCAGGGGTAATTGCCTCAAAATTTTAGGAATTAGGGGCCAAAAAGGGACAAAAAACAAGCATTTTTCTAGTTTCAGGACAATAACTTGTGTGTAAGTGTATGGATCTTTATGAAATTGTACTACAAGGTTCCATGTCACAAAGGGAAAGCTTGGTTTTAGTTTGGGGGTAATTGCCCTAAACGTTTAGGAATTTGGGGCCAAAAAGGGGCCAAAAAACAAGCATTTTTCTAGTTTCCAGACAATAACTTGTGTGCAAGTGTATGGATCTCTCTGAAATTGTACTGCAAGATACCATACCACAAAGGGAAGGCTGGGATTGAGTTTGGGGGTGATGAATCATAAGGGGGTTCAAAAAATGGGGGGGGGATTTTTTTCCTTTTTTTCCTTTTTTTTCTTTAAAATTTTCCATTTTGAATTGGTTATTTCTGATTTATATATATAAGCAAATAATAATGATATGGTTTGAATAGGTAAATTAAAAAATTTTAAGTTCTTAGACCACATTCATTCTGTGTCAGAAACCTATGCTGTGTCAAATATTTAATCACAATCCAAATTCAGTGCTGTATCAAGCTTGAATGTTGTGTAGATACTTACCCCAACTGTTCAGGGTTCGACCTCTGCGGTCTTATCAAGCTGCGCCCAGCAGAGCATTTTATTTGTATTTAAGACTATTTCCAAATTTGCTGACCCAAAATTCATTTTCTGGGTACAATGTAAGTTTAAATGATTCGGCCTCTTTTAGAATAAATTTAAGATTATTTCAGCACAAGAAGTTACCATATTGTTTGAATGATTGTTTTCTGTAAATGTTAAAACCTTACTTGAATATTTAAAGAGTGCACTCCTTTTCTGTTTACAAAGTCAGCTTCATTTTCATGTGGGCTGATAATCTTGACAAATGTTCCATCGATGCATCCTAGTACATTCGGAAATCCTTCAAGTAAAAATAATTCATTAAAAGGTGCTCAGTATAAAGTGCAAATTGGTACAATTATTAATTTGGATATTTGATTCTGTACCCTATTGTTATATATACATAGTTAATCTACACACTAAATAAATAAATACTGATAGTTTATGCTAAGGGGGAAAGGAAGGGGGGTGTTGTTTGTTGAGTGACATCTGGCCCATTGACTAAAAAGTCCTGAGAGGTATATCACAAAACGTGAAAAATGTATCAATGTGAATCCTTAATTTTGCAACAAAGATATAGTTGTAGGAGGCCGTAGTACAAAATGGCTAAAATCCACGTTTGAAAACTATACTCACACATAATGTACTGTTCGGGGGGAGGGGGTAGAGGTTTATGATTAGTGAAGGAGGTTTAACTAAATTTAGCCCTAATTCCCAAATATTTTTATAGAACAATATTTTTTAGATCAGTGTGTACGCCCTGTCTGAATCCCTGCCTGAAACATGTATTTAAATTCTTGTCTCTGGTGTCTTCTAGATATCAATAACATGAAATCAATGAGATGAAGGTGTGTGTGCGTAAGTATATGTGATGTGTTCTTATTGTTGTCATGAATTTTATTTTAGTCAGTATTAATCTTTTGAAGACCATGTTCATTTATCATTAAATGATGGCTATCAGCATTGAATAACGTCCAGACAAACAGAAACTGTTGACTTTACAGTGCATTTTTGTGTCAGAAATTTAGTCATGATTTCAGTCTTAATTCATTTTTGTCTTGCCTACGCAAAGAGTGAAAAAAGTGGGACAAAGGTATACTGTTTCCAGTGGCGTCAGCATAAAAAAGTTTGTGCTTATATAAATGTAAGAAGAGGTATGAGTGAAAATGAGACAACTCTCCATCCAACTCAATATTGGGAAAAGTAAACCATTATAGGTCAAAGCATGGCCTTCAACAATGAGCATTGGCTCACATCGAGCAGCAAGCTATTAAGGGCCCCAAAAATGACTACTGTAAAACCATTCAAACAGGAAAATCAACGGTCTAATCTTTATAAAAACGAGAAACACTTATGAACCACACCAACAAACAACAGCCACTGAACATCAGGTTCCTGACTATATAAAAAAGAAGATGTGGTATGATTGCCAACAAGAGACCAAATGACACAGAAATTAACAACAATAGGTCACCATATGGCCTTCAACAATAAGCAAAGCCCACACTGCATAGTCAGCTATAAAAGGTCTGTTTTCATGTTTAATGTTTCTGATTAAGTCAGAATAGTTTAATAGGAGCCACATACGGTTAGTTAATGATATTATGTTATTATATAAGTGTCTGCACATCTCATTTCTAGGGAGATTTTTGTAACTCAAACCCCTCAATATTGGACTTTTAGAATTTGTACATGGCTTATTAAAGTTTATGATTAGGTTAGTGAACATTCTAATTCACACACGGTGGAATATGTACCCATTATTTTGCTTGACTTATAATTTCCCTGAAGAATCTCTGTTCAAGTTCTTATTATCGGTGAAGTATATTTGAAAAATACATGGAGCTTCAATAGCCCTCAAATTAATAAAAAAACGAACTGTATCTGTAAAGTGGAATAATGGAGAGGGATGAACTCAGAGAATACTACTATTTCCTGTCAACCCCTATATTATCTCATTTTTGTCAAGCCTGCGACGTTAGTCGCAGAAAGCTCGACATAGGGATAGTGATCCGGCGGCGGCGTTAACTAACTTCTTAAAAGCTTTATATTTTAGAAGGTGAAAGACCTGGATGCTTCATACTTTGTATATAGATGCCTTAGGTTACGAAATTTCCGTCTGTCACATGTCCATTGTCCTTGAGCTCATTTTCATGGTTCAGTGACTACTTGAAAAAAAAGTTAAGATTTTTTGTAATGTTCATTTCTCTCTTATTATGAGTAATAAGATAACTATATATGGTATGTGCGTACCTTGCAAGGTCCTCATGCCCGTCAGACAGTTTTCACTTGACCTCGACCTCATTTCACGGATCAGTAAACAAGGTTAAGTTTGGTGGTCAAGTTCATATCTCAGAAACTATAAGCAATAGGTCTAGTATATTTGGTGTATGGAAGGATTGTAAGGTGTACATGTCCAACTGGCAGGTGTCAACTGACCTTGACCTCATTTTCATGGTTCAGTGGTTATAGTTTAGTTTTTGTGTTTTGGTCTGTTTTTCTTATACTGTATGCAATAGGTCTACTATATTTGGTGTATGGAATGATTGTAAGGTGTACATGTCCAACTGGCAGGTGTCATCTGACCTTGACATAATTTCATGGTTCAGTGGTCAAAGTTAAGTTTTTGAGTTTAGGTCTTTTTTTATCCTGCAATCATCTAACTATTGTACAAATAACAGGTAAACAAATAATTTTTTGCTTTATTTGTACTTGTTTGTATTTATTTGTATTTACACATAAAGTCTCCTGTTACCCTGCTTCCATGTTGAGCAAGCGGTAATGTGGATATTTCTTTTTGCGTTCCAGTTCATTTTGGGGTCCTCTTCGCGGTCCCATTTAAACTATGTCGATTTATTTGAAAAATTAGAGACAATGATTTAGATTTTAACAACTAATGTTTCAAGTGTTGGGTGTAAATTTCAGGATAAAAACAATATACATGTATGTACATTGTCGGAAAATATAAAATTTATTTGAACTCGCTACTATATGCATTAGGTCAACTATATTTGGTGTATGGAAATATTTTATGATGTGCATGTCAGTCTGGCAGGTTTGAACGTGACCTCATTTTCATGGTTCATTGCTCAGTGTAAAGTTTTTGTGTTTTTGGTGTCTTTTTCTGAAACTATGAGCAATAGGTCAACTATATTTGTTGTATGGAAGGATTGTAAGATGTACATGTCTGCCTGGCATGGTTCATCTGACCTTGACCTCACTTTCATGGTTCATTGGTCAATGTTTAGTTTTCTTGGTTAAGTCTGTTTCTTAGAAACTATAAGCAATAGGTAAACTATATTTAGTGTATTGAATGATTGTAAGATGTACATGCATTTCTCGTTTAGTTTATATGACCTTGACCTCATTTACTTGGATCAAGTTAAGCTTATGTGATAGTTGTAGTAAAGCTTTATATTTAGGACTATCAACATATTATCAATGGTTAGTAAAGAAAGTGAGACATTTCAGCGTGTGCACTCTTGTGCAAGAGGGAGGGATCATACCATAAAGGGATTTGGATTTTATTTCATAAAACAAACAAAATCGAAAAATTGGGGACGGCGCAATTCGAGGTACGAAGCAATCATGTTGATCCGGATGCCGGAAGTCCTAAGTCGTTTTTATCAACATTTTGCAGACGCTTTTTTTTGGGGGGGTTCCTGACAGATTGTAAAATTCTCCAAATATTTGTGCATTATGATAATATCTTTGAATCAACATAATGCAATTTTGTTTGGTAATCTTACGATCATTATTTTCATCATTTCCAATGAAACTGTCTAGAAAAATCTGTATTATATATTAGGTACGTACAGCAAATGTTTACAAATTACATGTCCAAAGCCGGGAAAGGCAAAGAAGGTCAGAAAAACAGGCACCATGCCACATAATGTCAAATAAAAAAATCAATTTAGTTTGTATGAACACAAGTGCCCTCAAAGAGTGCCCCAATACTAGTCATTGTGGTCATGGGCGTCAACCGGTTTAGACGTGTGAAAGTACGATTACTCGGAAAAATGCTATGTGAAACGATGACTAGATACATACTAATAGATGACAGATTCTTACCAGCAATTCTTCTAAATCCCTCCATTACTTGAATGGCCTTCTCGCCAACCGGGAAACAAATAATATTCCGGAAAACGGTAATGATGGCCTGGCAAACGTCTCTGCATGCCCTTCCAGTTGCCGACTCCGATATACACAAACTGTCTCCAACTAAACTCAAGTGGGTGCCGGTTGCCACGAATCTCAAGAATAACAAAAGCTGGATCACTGGAGAAAGTGCAAAATTTCTTCTCGTTTCACGATGAAGAAAGTTGTGAATTCCATTTAGGATGAAAGTTATAGTTGGTCGACGAAACCTGTATTTATCAAACAATTCCTCGTCATCTAAAGACTCAAGTGGATTGAGCCTGTCCCTAAAAACTCTTGGCCTAGGTAGGTTTCTCCGACGACGATGACGATTTCTTAGACGGCGTACATGGACAGCAGCCATTGTTTTATATACTTAAGTCTTGACTTAAGTATGGTTTTGGCTATACTCAAATATTTAAGAATATTCTTAAGTTTGAGTAAGAAAATATCTGAGAATTTTTTTATGGCGGTGTATTTTGCTGAGAATAAAAAAATTGAGAAAATTCTCAGGCTGAGTAAAAAAAATTTACTCAAATAGTTTTATGGCGCCGGGGCCTGGTATATAGTCAACATAGAATTTTTCTTACTCAACAATTTCCTTTTTAATTTGGCAACTCCTCACTTGAAGTTCTGCTTTTTTAAAAGTGTATTTCTTGGTACATGTATACCAATTAATTATATCAGAAAATCAATAAAAGATAATAATTCAATTCATCACTTTTACTAGCGCTTTCACTGCTTTTACAGATCTTCAGGTAATGTGACCTGTATATATAAGTGTTATACAAAAACAATTGATTGACGTTTACAATAGTATGACGTTAACAAATACAAGGGAGACTACTAATATCATTTAAAAAATTGATTAAAGTTTTAAAATGTTATTTAAGTAAAAAATAAAGTATTATTTATCATTTAAGTGTTGAGAATGTTTATGTCAGAATAATTCTTCTTTCTTCTTCCGGAGAAAATCATTTTGACGATTCACCATAAACATGTACAATGGAAATATCTTAAATCGTCCATTTAAGAACAACGATGGAAATGGTCGTTAGACCGGATAATTGTTATATCTTCATGGTTGGTTTGCTGCCTATGAACAGTCATTCTAGTACGTAGTTCATGTTTTGTCTCTCCAATATAGAATTCCTCAATTTTTTGAACACATGAGAGATTAAATGACGTTTTCAAGAACTTTTACAAGACATGTTTTGTTTAACTGTGAAATGCTTTCAATTTTTAAAATAAATTGAACTTTCTGCTATTAAATCTGGACATGTCATACATCGTTTATCGGTACATTTTCTAACAATAGGCAAAGTTTCATTAAAGTCGAATTTTGAAGATGTTAAATATCGTTTTAGACTTGTTGACTGTCTTTTACTGTTGATAATCTTCTTTTTTTGTAAAACTTTGTCCATTTTTTCACTTTTGTGTAAATTATTTTCAATTTGTCGCATGAAACTAAATATATCATAATCTCGTGGATTATATGTTGTTACAAACGGGATAATTTCATCTAAATTGTTTGATGATTCTTCGGTTGGTTCGGATCGCCGTGATTCTGTAATGATTGTTACTTTTATCAGTGCCTTTTGAATTCCGTAATCTATCACTTGTTCCGGATATTGCTGCTTTTTTAAATACACTTTTAATTCTTCCAATATTTTATTGCGTAATAGTTCTGTACTTGTAATGGTAATTATTCTTGACGCTAGATTAAAAGGTATATTTAATTTTACATGTTTTGGATGGTTTGAGAGAAGTTATATATAGTTATTTCTCTAATTATTTGACAATTTATCCCTTTCTGCAACCATTGTATAAACAAATTTAATCAACGTGTGGTTGCTGGTGATCTCAGAAGATGATTGGATGAGTTTAAGGGTCATAACCTTTATCAGCTCACTTGATGAATCAAAATATGCTAACAGCTGTTAATGAAATTGACAACTTTGTGGAATGTGGAAGGCACGCTAAGGGGATTTTTAGTTTAA